AATAATTATAATATAATTTACCATGCAAAAAAAATAACCAAATTTGCAATCATTAATTTTTTGTAAAACCTTGATATCAAATGATTAATCGGAAAATGGTAGACAGTTCTAAATAATTTAATCATCTAATTAATTATGTGGACAAATGCAGGCTTTATACTAGACGATATATATTCTTTAAAATGCTTCAGAACAGATAAAAAATCGAAATTTAATGGGCTATCATAATCTTAACAAGAATAATGGCAATTTTGTTGTTCTGATTTCTATTAAAAATTATAATATACATTATTTATAGTTTAAATATCTAAATAATTCTCAATAGATTTCTTTTAGTCAAAAGATTTAATTGATATAAACATTTGATCCGATTTTACATTAACAAACAAGCTATGCCAAATTTGAAATTTAATTTATGATGTAATTCAAATTCTTCAATTATCATAAAATATTAACACTAAAAACATTATATTTATCTTTTTTCTAATTTCCTTATAAACAACCTTCTTAAAGCTTAGGAATTGAGTACATTTTCTATATTAGTAAAATCTAAAGTAATAGATGGATAATTGTAGGAGTTAGTATTATTTTATTAGTATTTGGAGATATTTTAAAGGGTAATTAAATTGGAGTACAGTTAGGATTTGAGAATTGTTCAAATTAAGTTTTTTTGCTTATTTTAAAAAATTGATATGTAAACTTATTATCAACTTGATGTATATTTTTAATTCTAATCCAACCAGCCAATAAAAATGAATCAATGATGATGTTTTCGGAAATATAAAATTTTTAATCTAACCAAAAATAACTTGATTTGATATTTCAGAAATAGTCGTATTATTGCACTCAACTTAAGATAAATATTCAAAATCCGCATATTAGAGTATATGAGAAGATGGTTAATAAATCTCATAAATTTAACCTGGAAAATTATAAATGTAATGACCCTTCTTATATTTTCTTTTACATTTGAATTCTTGTAGTTTTATCTCAACTTATTTTAACATACAATGAGACCTCCTCCAATAGTTTTTTTTCTAAAGAATTTTCTCCAGAAAGAAGTGATTATATGTTGCTCTAAAGTAAAATTTAATTTTCTTTTACAATAAATAATTTGATGATTTAATCTGAAGAAGAGTAAAAAAATTTAAATAAATATCATACATTTTCATATTCAAATGGATTAATATCTATTTTATATAAATTTTTTGTCCATCTTTGGTGGAAAAACTTAAAACTTTTTGTAGGGTTTTACTTTCAGGAAATAGTCAGTTATAATATAATATACCAAAAATCTTGATGATTATTCAATTAAACTCTATAAATGAAAAAAATTGGAATCAAATAATCCATCAAGTTCTACTTATTATATTTAACCTAATGGATTATATTTAGACTAAATTCCAAAAATAATGCATAATCTTCATAAAAAAATCATTCATATCTAGAATGTATTCGTCTATTAAATTATGCTTACTCAAATATTAAATTGAATAGGATAATGAAATTTAACAAAAAGAGAAGAGACACTAAATCCAACTTATCTTCATTTTCAAATTAATTATTTTGAATATTCAATAAAATTTCTTGTAGATATTTATTCAAATGGAAAGAAGAAGTGGGAAAAAATAATGATAGAACTAAATTTTTAATGTTGTTAATTCATATTTAATTAAATAAGAGTTATTACATAAAATTAACCACTTTTCATATTTTTTTTCAATTTCTATAACTAACCTAAACTAAAATTTAAGAAACAAATTAATTGTAAAATAATATTTATAAATTCAACAGCATTCTTATCATTTTTAGTATATATACTTCATTTAGTATATCAAACTATCTATCCAATATATTTCTATAAAATAAGAATTAATATATACTTCATCTTTATTTTTTCACAATCCATAATACTACCTCAACTATCTCATAACCATTTCTTGTATAAAATAGTCAATTATACCTGTTAATGCTTTTTAATAATCTTTTTGGAGATTCTTTATTAGGCTTTATTTCTTATAAAACACCTCCAAAATTAATAATGCTAGCTTTTACGAATTTTTGAACTATAATTATTAAAAAATTTTAATTAATGGATCCTTATATCGAAAAACAGCATTTTGATTTATTTTTTATTCTATTAATCCAAATATTAAATAAGGTTAAGCCTTTTTTTTTATATATTCCATCTGTTATTTATTTATTGATTTATTTATTTGAGATACACTTATATTTTAGGACCCTTAATTATTATTCGAGCTATTTCTGTAGTTTTATTAACCATCACTTAATGATAGGCTTCTGAGGATTAGAAAATCAATGAAGTACGAAATAAGACCTTTCATCCTGATACAATATTAATTACAATCACAAAGTCATATCAACTAAAGAGTAAAACTTTTAATCATTATTGTTATCTATTAGAGAGTTCTTTGCTCTAAATTTCTATTTTTTCATTACTATGAAAATATTTAAACCTTTTTTCATCAATGATTTTGATCTTATTACTTTTTAATACAAAATTAATATAGAGATTAAGTTGGTTTCATATTTCAAAATAAAGTTATATTTTTTAATTTCATCATCATTATCTCTATATTTAATAAATTAATCTATAGAATAAATCCTTTTCAGGAATTATATATGAAATTATTCATTTAAAATAGTGATAGCTTTAAATTATCCTACTGAATATTATAAGCTAGTTTTTCTACAAATAATACCTAATCTAAATTTGTGAGTAGTAACAAGTTCTCTTTCATATAAAAATCAAGATGTGTTAACTTGAATATTTATTCTTAATTAAAAAAATACTATATTCTGTATAAAATTAGGAAGATTTTTCACATGTTAATCTATTTATGTTGTGAAAATTTTGCTAGGAATTATTCTTTAGATCAATAATTTATTTCTTATAGTAATACATAGACATTTTAATTTTAGATTATGGGATAATCTAGAATGCTTTTGAATTTCTTTTTTTATGAGAAGTTGATTTTAATTTGAAATTTTTATTGGAAGTAATGATGGGAGTTTTTTAAATTTGAATGTGATACTAATAGAATTAACAAAGAAGTTTCTATCATATCTGGTAATAAGCAATAGACTATCTAGTTTCAGATTAAAGAGAATAAATAATGGAAGTAATTAGATATTATCGAATAATACAAGGTATTATTATTATATTTGTTATTACTTTAATTATTGTCATGCAGAATTGATAACTTAAAAGTAATCATCTCATAAAATATTATGAAAGAATGGAATACTATTTAAAAAGTAACAGTAAATAATTATGTGTTTAGCTTTTTTTGATTCTATATCGAAATATAGAACTTATAAAGCTAAATACGAGAGGAATAATAGCAAAATAAAAATCAAAAAATATGCATAAATTTGCATACTTTATAACGATAAATCAGTTGTGATTTATGATTCTCTCAAAAGTGTTTTATAATTCTTAATTACTTTTGTGCTGCAAATTAATACTTGATATACTTAAATTAGTGAAGATATTTATCTTTACTAATTGTTCTCCCAATTTTGTCAATATTGATGTTTAAGAAACCGAATAATCTACAATCTTCAGAGACCTTATTATTTGAATAAAAATGATGATTTTTGTTTTAAATTATTATAATGGTTGGTTTTTTATAATTAAAAACAATAAATCACCAATTTTTGAATCTAAAAATACTCATATAAAAAATATAATCGAATTGAGATATAAGTAATAAGTAGTAATTTGAACTTTTTTTTAGATAGTATATTATTATTTTGAAATCGATAGTTATCCACAACTATCATCAAATATTTTGATTAATATTTTCTTTTTTGAATAATTTTTATTATTAACTGCATTCATATAAGATAATCCATAGTTAAAATACAAATTGAGATATAGAAACAGTTAAATATAAAATGAATTTATTAATTATTTAAGATTGTTAGGTAATTGAATTAATAGAATTAATAATATATTAAAAAATGTTTTAAGTAAAAATAATAGAAAATGAAAAAGATCTACAATGTGCTATGAAACATGAATTACCTGTCTTAATGGTAAATCTAAATCCTAATCTTCAATCAAATTAAAGACTTTTATGTGAGAAATGCCTTTATTATTTTGAATCAGATGCCAAGATGATTGGATTCAAGAAAATTATTCAAATGATAGAAGAAAATAAGAAGAAGTCTTTCGATAACTGTGAAAATCTTATAAAACTTAACATCAACAAAGTTTAATCAATCGAAAGTCACATTTAATAGTTGAAGTCTAAACTTAATTAATCATTAAATTAAATACTTCAAGAAATAAAAGAATGGGATGCTAATTTACAGTCCCTTATTGAAAAGTCCTCAGATATTAGCTTCTTTTAAGAAATAAATAATATAATTCTTAATTAATAATCACATCTCAAAGATCAATCGAATTTATCAGATTAAATTAAGATATTAAATGATAATTGGAATAAAAAAATTATCACTAAACTAGAGTCATTAACATCATTTAATGAATTTTAATTGTGTAAGGAAATATTAAATGGTCTAAGTTAGCAATCTATTTAAGAATACAACTGAAATGTTTTGATTGTTATTAATATTTTTGTAATTCTTTTATCCTTTTTCTTTTTTCTTTTTTGATTTTAACAGAAAATGATTCTTACAAATTATATACATGGTTTGGTATGGGGAAAGTGTATTAATCAATTTAATTGGTGTTTTATAAAAATTAATAATAATATTCTTAATATAACTTTAAAAAGAAAATCATTATATAATTATTTACCAGTGTTAATTCTAAGCTTGCTATAAAGAATTTTGATTGTATAAATTCATCGCTATATTTAAATCCTTACCATTCATATTTGTATATCATCGAATTGAAGTTCAAGATATTTATTGTCTATTATTGGTTTCATTTCATTTGGATTAATTAAGTTTTTCAATAAATTGAATCCTCAATTATTTTTATTCAAAAAATTTATCAGCATAACCTTAAACTATCTAAAAATCTAATAATTAAAATTTGTAGAATAATCCAAATTTTATTGATCCGCAAATTCTCTAAAATGTATATTTTTATTTTTTATGAAAATAGCCTCAAAAATAAAGAGATTAAAATCAAAACTTTGAAAAGAAAAGTTTATTTGGATTTATGAAAAAATGATGTTAGTAATATCATAAACTTCAGATATATTATTTTATTATAAAACTTTCTTTAATGTTACTCTAAAGAACCTTTGTACAACTGTACAAAAAAATAACATACATAATATTTATATTAAGTGTGTTTGTTTATTTTAATTTTCAATTATAATAAGATATTGAATCTTTTAAAAAGTTCTGTATATTCTGTTCTCTATGATAATTTTTAACTTAAAGAGATACTTTTTTTAATTGGTATTTATTGGGGAATTATTTTGTTGATTTAAGGATTTTTTCTATAATTAATCAAGTTGATTTATTTATTTTTTTCTTTTAAGGGATTATACGCTAAAATAAATATCAATTATCAAAATATTTACATGATCTGTTATCTTACATTTTGAAATTACTAAGCTGATTACCAACTTACTTTAATTTTTGAATGTCAAAATACTTTTCATATTGTGTTTATTTAATAATTATTCTCAATTTCATTATATTAAACTCATGAATTATCATTAATTTATAAAATAATATCAATATATATTATTTTATTCTCAATCCCATATATAGAGAAAAGATAGGTTTATGTTTTTTGATTTTAATTAAGTAAGGTATAGTTTTATTTCTTTTTTTTAAGAGGACTTTATGATACCAGAAAACAAATATTGTGATACATGTAATTCACAGCTTAATGTAGAAGGTAAATGAAGAATATTAGAAAGTCAAAGTTGTTAAAAATGAAAGTCTTTCCTATAGAATATAGAAACTAAAGATGAGAAACATTTAACAGTTGAAATTGTCTCCTATGATTCAATAAATGAATTACCCTAATAAATGCATATGACCTTGAAATTATTTGAGACTTGCTCGAGAGATTATTAACATAAGTGAGCAGATTCCATTATATAAATTTTTGAAGGTTTAAGATATTCTAATTGATTTGAAAAATTAGGTAAAATTGGATTAATTGTTTTAAAAGTTTTTAAACTAATTACAATTAATGAGAAAAGTTAGAGCAAATACTAAATTAAATTAAGGTTAACAGAAGATTGCTAATAGCAAAAGAATTGCGAGCTTATGGGTCATATACAGAATGTCAAATTGCAATTATTTTGAAGGAATAAATTTTGTGATTAAGTTTAAATCAATTGTTTATTAGACTGAATAGGGTTGAAGAGACAAAGCAGTTAATATTTTAAATATGTTTTTAATTTAGTTACATTTAATTTATGAGAGAATGTTTTAAATTGGATTAGCTGTAATGTTAACATTTTCAAGAATTGATTGATAGTCAATATTTAATCACCAAGAAATAAATTAATTTCTTTAAATAATATAGAAGAATAGGATAATTTAAAATTAGAAAGTTTTAAAAATAAAATGAAAAAATTAATAATTGTTTAATCCATTCAACTACATCATTGCTTTTGATGAATAATTAGTTGGAAAATAAAATAATTTTTAGAGATTTAAATTAATACATTATGATTAGCCTTTGTATATAAATTTTTAGTTTAAATATATTGCTTTGACGTTTTTTATTGATTAAGCTATTTATTAGAGCTCTTGAATTCAATTTCTAGATTTTAATTCATAATTTCTATTAATTAAACACCACCTAAACAATCTTTTTATCAAATTTAAAAGAAAGATTTTCTTACTTAGAATCTAGTGTACAATATTAATTTAGATTTAATAACTCATATGATTTTTATTTTATTGTTCTAAAAATTATATTGAAAGTAATAAATCATACTAATTTAATTATATTTCCAAGCCTATTTTCTTGCTTACTAATTATATACTATTTTTAACAATATTTATTGATATAATTATGACAATTATTTGATGACTAATAATCTCATCATACAACAAATAAAAGGAATTTTAGTATTATTATTTTATTTAATATCATATTAGTATTATACTTTCTTTTTCTATCTCTATAATAATAAGAATAATAAACTAATAATAAGGCTAATCTTAGTATTGGGTTAAACTTAGGAATTATTGTTGGCAAAAATTAANATTTTTGAAGGTTTAAGATATTCTAATTGATTTGAAAAATTAGGTAAAATTGGATTAATTGTTTTAAAAGTTTTTAAACTAATTACAATTAATGAGAAAAGTTAGAGCAAATACTAAATTAAATTAAGGTTAACAGAAGATTGCTAATAGCAAAAGAATTGCGAGCTTATGGGTCATATACAGAATGTCAAATTGCAATTATTTTGAAGGAATAAATTTTGTGATTAAGTTTAAATCAATTGTTTATTAGACTGAATAGGGTTGAAGAGACAAAGCAGTTAATATTTTAAATATGTTTTTAATTTAGTTACATTTAATTTATGAGAGAATGTTTTAAATTGGATTAGCTGTAATGTTAACATTTTCAAGAATTGATTGATAGTCAATATTTAATCACCAAGAAATAAATTAATTTCTTTAAATAATATAGAAGAATAGGATAATTTAAAATTAGAAAGTTTTAAAAATAAAATGAAAAAATTAATAATTGTTTAATCCATTCAACTACATCATTGCTTTTGATGAATAATTAGTTGGAAAATAAAATAATTTTTAGAGATTTAAATTAATACATTATGATTAGCCTTTGTATATAAATTTTTAGTTTAAATATATTGCTTTGACGTTTTTTATTGATTAAGCTATTTATTAGAGCTCTTGAATTCAATTTCTAGATTTTAATTCATAATTTCTATTAATTAAACACCACCTAAACAATCTTTTTATCAAATTTAAAAGAAAGATTTTCTTACTTAGAATCTAGTGTACAATATTAATTTAGATTTAATAACTCATATGATTTTTATTTTATTGTTCTAAAAATTATATTGAAAGTAATAAATCATACTAATTTAATTATATTTCCAAGCCTATTTTCTTGCTTACTAATTATATACTATTTTTAACAATATTTATTGATATAATTATGACAATTATTTGATGACTAATAATCTCATCATACAACAAATAAAAGGAATTTTAGTATTATTATTTTATTTAATATCATATTAGTATTATACTTTCTTTTTCTATCTCTATAATAATAAGAATAATAAACTAATAATAAGGCTAATCTTAGTATTGGGTTAAACTTAGGAATTACTAACAATGAATTATTTTAATCAAAATAAGAACCAGTAAAATCCCTACAATAAATAACATTGAACAAAATTGTTTACCTTTTTAACACTATTGATTATTTCAATTATAGAGAGTATAACCAGAAAAATGATTGCAAATTAATTCTGTAATATCTTCATATTTTCAAAATGAAGAATAATTACAATATTGATTTTATATATTTTATTACATCTGGCAGGATTTGAATGTCTAGAGTTATATGATGATTGATGATAAAAATTAAAAATAAAATCCATAGATAGTTAACAATATTTATTAATATTTACCATTACTGATTGTTATATTAATTAAAGCTATACAATTAATAATCAACAATTACATTTACAAAAATAATTTAATGCCCTTCAAGTAATACCTCCATCAACAATTAATCACAACCTGAAGTGCCAAAATGTATAAATTTTGCAGGATTCCCTTCTCTCTAATGTTAAAATCCAGATGCCATAAATGTCATGTTCTATTGTTTCTATCTTAATTTGTACATTTCCATATTGATTCCCCTAATAATGTTAGCATATAAAATCATTAAATAAATACATTCTTAATATAATTAATTTTTTCTCTTTATTCTAAATCCAAACACAAGCTTGATAATCAAACTAAGAATTAACCTAATTATCATTTATTTTAATTTTAGTACTGAAGTCCCATTAGTATATAGAGAAAAAGAATTTATTATTTAATTTTCATATAATTGAAATTTAATAATTTTAATTAAATTTTCATTATTCATAATCCATTTAAAATCAACTTCTTTTGCAATAAAATTTAACCAATTTATAAGATACAAGATTATGTTTCTTTCGAGGAATAAATACATTTTTAAGACAAAAATAAATGTATTTATAAAACTTTTTTCATATTACAATAAATAAATGTATTTTAAAGTTAAAAAATTTAAAGAATAGAAATGTATTTTTTGATAGATTATTACCATTTTAAATTGCATATTTTATTCCTACTTAGATAATACAATATTGAATAATGAACATGATTATGAATATCGATTTAACTGTCTTTAAACGTTTTTAATATTTGATTAGTTTAGATAAATTTTTTCCTAAGTTCATAAAAAATTAATAATTTTTAAGAAAAATTAATAAAAAATTACATTTATTATTTCGAATATAGGAAATTAAAAATCATCTAAGCTTTATTTTAAATGTCTTTCAGGGTTTTAGATCATTTCTGAAGGCTTGAATTAATTTTTGTTTTATCTATCTTTCAGAGTTAATAACCAACAAATTTGCATTTATTAAAGTTTTAATATTAACAAAGGATTATTAAAGTTATTATTTACTCATCTAGGGTTGGGAGGTAGATTAAGCAGAGCTTTTGTTTTTTCTTGATTTTTCATTGAAGCTTCCAAGTCTGTAAGGTTAATTCAAATGGGCTTATTACAAAATCTTTTATTATAATAAACTTATTTCTTATGCAGCGTACATAATATGATAATATTATAAAAATTTGTCTACCAGGGTTTCACTTCTATCAACTCCTCTGATACTCTTATTCCTTTTCTACCTATCTTCTAAAGAGGTTCCTAAAATTCCTCCTTTTTTTTAATTTAATTATAGATTTAAACCTCTTATTAAACGGTTAGGTTTATTTATTCAAAATTCCTATCTAAAGTATTGAAAATGCAAATCCTTAGTTCTTGCGTTTAATAAGGTTTCATTATTACCTCTCCAGTTTCGAAGAAATTTTGTAAATAAAACAAATCCTTCAACACATATTCAAAAGCCAACTCTTTGTTATCAATTAAATCTTGATAATTTTAATTAAGCTATTATTTTTTTGTTAATCTTTATAACTACAATTATATGATTTATACTGAATTTTTATTCTTGATGTTTCCTTTATATATACTCATTCTAGTCTTCCAACTATTATTATTCATTTACAATAGATATCGATTTCTAAAATTCTATTTTTTTCCATTTTTCTTCTCTTCATCTTTTACCTATTACATCTTTTAAAATTTTTGATCTGATAGCTTACCCTTTAAATTACTTAGAGTAAGGTTTTATTAAGAAGTTCATTATTAGAATTTCTAGTATTTAATCATCTTTATAATTTTTTTGGGTCTATTTACTACTCTGAATCTCTTGTTCAATTTAACTTCCTTTGAAACTCAACCTTTTTTGTTTCTTAATGACTCTAAATTTTAAAAACTTATATAATCTAGAACCTCAATTAAATTATTTGAATTAAATTTTCTTGAGAAAATACTTCAAAAAAATTAAATAATAGTATTTTTGTTAATGTAGTAAGATTGTTCTTTATGATTTTAATTGCCTCTAAAAGCTATTACGATTATTTACGTTGGATATTGGGATTTGCATAAATTATATATTTGTGATCTGTTTATTGATTATAATTGAACCAATATTTTGTAATACAATCGATTCATTTACTATATAATAATTGACTTATCTCTACTTCCAGATCAAAATGATTTGATTTTTTCATAAAGTTTAATTTAGATATCCAATTTAAATAATCACTTAAAAGTTATAATTGATTTAATTTCTTTTATTTGAAATCAAATACTTTAATATACCTATCACATCCTGCTAAAAGAATTGAGTTATCTTTATTGATTGCGATTGCAAAATACTTTTCTTCTTATTTAATAGAATTTTAATTAATCACCTCAAAAGTGAATGATTTTATATTTGGTTTTATGAGATTTAGATTTATTTGTTATTCACAAATCTATTCTTTAATGGCAAAAGATTTGGAAACTTATTATTTATTTGTTGAACTCAAATTTGTTTATTATTGTTGGTTTTCCAAAATTTCTTTAACTATCTATTTAATTTATTCGATAGATTATTGGATTTAGTTCAGTAAGGTTTTCTCCATAACTCAACTAAACTTAAACCTTTTATTATATTGTCAATCTCAGATAGTTCAAATTTAGATAACTACACCATATTAATATTGTATAAATTAACAAATTTATAATAAGGTCTTTAATATTGACATTTACTATCAATGCAAACTCCTATTATTTGTTAATTTAAATGAATTAACATTTTTCTTTTCTATTAAAAATAATATTTAATAAACAAAAATCATTTGTAATTTTCAATTTCAATATTCAAACCAAATTGTTTTAATATTTTAACTTATTGATAAATCACACCAACTTACTTAAAATAGTGATATAATAGATATCTTTTGGGCCATCAATATCGAAGGGTCTAAATTTGATTAAAATACATCAGATCTAATACTAAAAGCAAAAAAATCTCTCGTCTATAGTATAATTTATTGTTTCTTTTTTCAGAATAACCATTATTAAGTTCAAAGACCAAAAGACTTAATATCTCCTTTGAATATTGGGCATTGATCATTCGTAAATGAATACTAAGATGATGACATATTCATTTTCAAATTGCCTTGATCTCCTAAAATTGATCAATCCAATATAATTACTTGATACTTAGCAGAAACCTCAGAGGAGATAGTTCAACATATCAGCAGTGCTAGCTAGTGTCTTTATATATTCAAGATTAAAAGAGAAACTAAGAGAGGATAGATCAAATTTCTTTAGTAATTGTACAGAAAAAGTTGGAAGAATTGTAATTTTAACAAAAATTTTAGCCGAAATGTATATGCTTTTCTAAATTTTCTATTAAAATGATTAGGGAGGATTAAAATAATTATAAATTAATTAGGCTCATAAAATATTTTAGAAAATTCAATTTCATTAAATTTAGTCAGGATTTTGAAATAAACTATGGATTAATGTATATTTAAATATTTTATTTTTATTTTTATCTGCCAATTTAATTCTAAATTTCAAAGGGAAGATAAAGAGATATTAATTATCATCAAATAATTTGTAATGTCAATTTGAGAGATAATAATATTTTAATATACCTTGAAAAAATTTTATTTTATTTTGATTGATCATATATTTGATTAATCTTGAGTTGGGAGAATATGCAAATGAAATAAATGCGATTCTGATTTGTATTTATAAATGTTCATATATTAATTCACTTTTATTTATTTGACTCTTGTAAATTGCTTTAAGTATTTTTGATAGCATTCTAAATAATTTTATTTGGATTCTATTGATTATTCTACTAATTATTATCTACTTTAGTACTTTTTTTTGCATTATCCATTTAAACTAGTGATCATTTTCTTTAGAATTCTTTATTTAAACTTGAGAATTTATAAAATTTATTAATTTAATATTGATGATCATTTATAAGTATGCTAAGCTTTATTTACTTCTGCTTATAATAATTATGTATGGATAAAATGATTGAATTAGCACATTGTTGAAAAGAAGTTCGATAAAATAAAGGATTGAATATATGGTAGATGTTTAATTCTATTGTTACGGCATAAAAAGAATTTGAGAAGTACTTTAAACCAATATTATGTTAATTTAATTTTCCTGTAAAAGTTCATTAATTCAGATTCAATTTAAATATTTCTAAAGAATTATTATGATTCAATTCAATATCATTCTCTTATTCAATTATAATTTCATATAATATTTTACTTTAATCTTAACACATTAGAATTTATAGATGTGAAAACAGAATATTTATATTTATATTATCGTTATTAAAATAAAAATTACACAATCAAAAAGGAAAATAAAAAGAATTAATACTCTTTTATAATTCTTCAATTTTGAATTTAAAAGATTGTTTACTTTAAGGAATTACAATAATTGAAAACTTTGTTATAAGAAATTGCACATTTATAAATTCAAATTTCTTTTAATTTATCAATAANATATTTTAATATACCTTGAAAAAATTTTATTTTATTTTGATTGATCATATATTTGATTAATCTTGAGTTGGGAGAATATGCAAATGAAATAAATGCGATTCTGATTTGTATTTATAAATGTTCATATATTAATTCACTTTTATTTATTTGACTCTTGTAAATTGCTTTAAGTATTTTTGATAGCATTCTAAATAATTTTATTTGGATTCTATTGATTATTCTACTAATTATTATCTACTTTAGTACTTTTTTTTGCATTATCCATTTAAACTAGTGATCATTTTCTTTAGAATTCTTTATTTAAACTTGAGAATTTATAAAATTTATTAATTTAATATTGATGATCATTTATAAGTATGCTAAGCTTTATTTACTTCTGCTTATAATAATTATGTATGGATAAAATGATTGAATTAGCACATTGTTGAAAAGAAGTTCGATAAAATAAAGGATTGAATATATGGTAGATGTTTAATTCTATTGTTACGGCATAAAAAGAATTTGAGAAGTACTTTAAACCAATATTATGTTAATTTAATTTTCCTGTAAAAGTTCATTAATTCAGATTCAATTTAAATATTTCTAAAGAATTATTATGATTCAATTCAATATCATTCTCTTATTCAATTATAATTTCATATAATATTTTACTTTAATCTTAACACATTAGAATTTATAGATGTGAAAACAGAATATTTATATTTATATCAATAATAAAGTTATTTTATCTAAAAAAATCTTTTCATTGAAGATAGTTTATTTACAAATTCCACTTTTTTTATTTTGATTCAAATGTTTAACAATTAAGTAAGATAAAATTTGATAATGTGGTAATTAAACAGAGTAAATTCTCTAATTCAAACCTTTTTATCTGCTAAAATTATGTTTCACTTTCTATGATAAACTTGTAATATTCAATAGAATAAATTGTTCTTTTCAAATTTATTTTTTTCTTCTAATTATCACCTCTTTTTCTAATATTTTTAACTTAATCAAAACTAATTTGAAGAATCATAATTTTTTTTTTTCATTGAGAAATATGAGGATTAATCAACTTTTATAGTTATTGATTAGTTTGAGTGTTATAACGAGCAATTAAAAAACTCTAAATTTTGAGAGTATCAACTAATATAGAATCTAGCCAAATTTGATTTAAAGATAACAAATTTATTTCATTGATGAAATAGTAAGTGTAATTCAGAAAATAAATAATATCTCTTTAAAATTAGATGTCTTAAGCTAACAAATTAGAATATGATTTTTTAAAACTCAAAAAATTTTCTCATATTTTAACATATTTGAAAGTAAGGATATTCAGATATCAAATATAATTTATTAAAATTCTGTTAAAATATATTCAATGCCATTTTCTTATATATGTCAAGTTAAAATTAATGAAAAAATTAACTTTTGAAAATAGAAAACTTTCATACTTTAATCATTACATCTGTTCAGATTATTAATTAATTTACTATTGATAAATCCTTTATAGATTTATCGTAGGCAACAGAGTTTTCCAGCTCTTCCAAATTGTAAATACCGATATTCATTTTATTGGAAACTTGTAATTATTTTAATACTCTATAAAATAACTATTATTTCAGAATAGAGTATTAATGTTGAAGTAAATAGAATTAAATTTTTGGAAAATTGTTTTCACTCTTAAACTGAAAGCATTTTATAATCCTACGCTTCTTTTCTTTTCTTTAATATTAAATCTAGTTAGGTGAAAATTACAAATCTATTATTTGAAAATAATGGATTTACAAGTTCATCCAACTCTTTTATTTATATTTATTCAAAAACACTATTTATGTAAAATTTATAAATATCTAACCATAATATTTTAAGTTATAAATTATGGGGAAATTTTTTATGGAATAAAATTTGATTAATTCTTTAATAAATTATTTTATTTTTTTTAAGCTTTAAAAATAAAAAATATAGGTGGAGTTGCTTAATAACAGCATCAATATTCAAATGTTTTAACTGCCAATTTTCAAATATCTTAGCATCAAAAAGCTCTATTTTTGAAATTAACAGTGAATATAGCCATCTTAGATTAAAAATATCATTAGTTTAATTGATATTCAGATCTATGATTTTTTATCTTTAATGAATCAAATTCTTATTGTGTAATTCTCTAATAAAATAATTGATGAAAACTATTTAGAAATACGAAATATTTTGATAATATAACATACGGATTCTTCGATATATTTTTTCTCTAAAATAGGAAATATAAGTTTTATGGAATTTTAAGATTTTTCAAGAAGCTAAAATTCATTATTTTATTTTGAAAGTTGTTCATTATATAACTTTAATGTTCGTTTTGTAAGTTTTTATATGTCACCAATTTTGAGTATTGTAAATGAACCAAAATAAACATTTTGAACCTCTAGATCGAATAGCAGATATTGAATCAAAAGTACTGATGCATAAAGTAAGCATTTTAAATACTTTAATATATTAAGCAGGACTTCAAAAGATAATTTTATAGGACTTTAATTTTTAAATTAATTGATGTATTGTAATGGTCAATTAATCAACAGAAAAATCTGGAAATAAAAAATTTTATTTTTTTGAGATTGTTGAAACAATTAAAAAATAAATAAAGACACAACTTTCATTAATTTACATATAGAGTCAATCTAATAAACATTCTTTTTATTTCAATTAATTGAAGATTTTGGAAAATAATTGTATAAATTTTTTTAATGGGTTGATTCATTTTGATTTACTAACTTTCTAAAAGATTAAAATATCAGAACTAATATGTTATTACAACATTATTTAATTGTAAGTTGGCTTAAAAATTTGGATGAAAATTAAAAATCTCTGCCTATTAAAATAATAAGTTCAGATTTTATTCAAAATAATGGAAGTTAAGGTGTTGCTATTTCATCAAATAGTCCAATAATAATTTAGAATTGTAAAATGATTTCCAACATTGCCAGCTTTAGAAGAGGGGGGATTTATTTGAAACTGAAAGTGACTAATTTATAATAAAAAATTCTATCATTGTTGGGAATAAAGCAAAAGAAGGTGGAGGAATATATTTTAGTGGAGACAGTAATTTAAACCAACATAAGTTTATTTAAACATATTTATTCTGTAATTATGCTTCTGATTATGCTAATAATGTAGTTGAAAGTCCAACCCATTTGGCATTATTAATAAATTCCTTAGAAATGAAAGCAGATAATGTATAATTTCAAAAAATTTAAACTAATATTTTAAAGATTTTTCCTTACTTGACTATAGAACAAGAGGTTAAAATTAAAACTGCATATCTAATGATTCCTAGTGGCTAAGCAATCTAGGTGTACTCTATTTTTATTCCTAGAAAATCATAAACTTATAGGTAGATTAAACAAATAGAATGAATATAAATGAATATATAAAAATAAGTTAAATAAAATCCAGAAAAACATAGTTAATTCATCCTGTATGATAACAGAAAATATAGTCAAGAAGAATGAATAAATAGATGGAAATCAGCAACATGCTAAATTACTTTTTAATACTGAAAAAAAATCATTTTGATTTAAGTTCAATCACTTTTTCATTAATCTTTATATATAACATAATTAGTATCAATTAACTTAGTGCTATACTTTCTATCATTCTTACTTTGAAAAGTATTGGAAAAACAAATAATCTTTTCTTATTATAGAAAATTTAAGGAACTGTTAATTAAATTCTTTTTAAATTAAATTAGGGTAACTATTTTAATATTGAAGATCTTGAGGGTATTTTCATAAAAATGCTTTTAAATTATTTATGGATATTTTCAGTTATATTATAATTGAATATTAGCTTTTCCTTTTAATTCAACTTTGTTGAATAAGCCAGTAAATAATCTTATTCAATGGCTAATAATTTAGATTGTTATTTATCTGAAATAGTAAAAATTTATATAATCTATTCCAAAATTATCTTAATTTTGATATTAATTATAATGCAATTTGTTACCATAATTATCGGATTAATAATATTTTCAATTGTTACTAATTTAAAATTTAAATTAAACATCGTTTCTAATACCTTACTTTGCTTGTATATTTTTAATTATGCTGGATTTATCAAATGTATTAAAATTAAATTAAAATTAGGTGATGTTCTGTGGTTTCATACAGAGAAATTGGAAACATTTAATATATATCTGGAAACCTATAATTAGAATTTAATACAGACACTCATTATTAATGGATTATGAGTTTGGTTCTTCCAGGATTAATAGTTTTTGGTTGTTAAAATCCTTTTTTATTATTTTTATTAATGGACTTGAAAAGAAATGATTTGGATAATTAGATATTCAGGCCTCATATTTGTTATCTTTATAATGAAAAGTTATTATTGGGAATAAATAAAATTAAGTAAAAGAGCTCTAATGATTCTCATTTTGACTTATTTTGAGTAAAGTGATATCTTTGGCTCTCTAAATCTGTTATGCTTTTTTAGTGATAACATTTCCATATATTTATAGTATAGCCTAGATTTATTATAAAAAATATAAAATGATTTTGTTGAAATATTTATTTATGATTAAATTAAGCATCAAAAAAAGTTGAATTACTTTTAAATAAGAAATGTTAAAAGGAACAAAAGTTTAAAGATAATTACTTAAAATTATGATGATTCCTTTTTTGATTATATCAAAAGCTTAATTGAAAAATAGACCGTAATAATTATTTAGAAATATATAGAGCTCTTGAATCCACTTTTAATTCCAGTAGAAACTATCAACATTAACTAATAAATTCAGTGACCCAAGGCTAATCTATATAATTTACAGGATAAAGGATGAAATGAATTTTCTTTAAATGTCAAAAATAAAAAAATTTAAACCATAAAGACCTTCTGGATGTATAACACTCCTTCACAAAAATTATCAATTCAAAAGATTAATTTTTCTTTATAAAATATGCTTTTCTGCGATTCATTTATCATCCAAACTATATTCGCCATTTTTTCGTATATAATTTAAACTAAATAATCTAATAATTATTTCAATTAGAAATACTCTTGTTCTGCTATCCATACACAAATCTCCACTCCATATAGATTATAAGACACTAAACAATATTTTATTAATTTATTATTGATTAATAATTTTTAACTGTTTATTTCTTTTAACTAAAGTATTTTTAAATTATTTTAGGTCGATGATACTTTTCCAAATCAAGTCAGAAGTACCTTAATATTAAATGAATATTTCAATTTAGGAATAGAAAATGTTAATTAAGCAATTCTACAGTAGCCTCTTTTTAGTAAATTATTGTTATTTCAAAATTATTAATTGATAAATTTATTAGAGATCGTAATGATTTAAGGAAATGAAAATATTTTTATTATGAATTTAATACATAATTTTGGTCTATTTAATGTAGGGCTTTTCTAATTTATAGAATATTGTTTTATAATGTAATTATAAATAACAACTATCCAGAAGCATTTTTTCTTTTTAGGTATTTGATTTACTTGGTCTATATGATTATAAATTGTACATTTTTCATTTATAGTTTTGAGCTTAATTTAGATCATTTTATGATGATTGGGTAGATTCATGGTATTTGTACCCCTTTGGATTCTAATCCTTTATGGAGTTTATTTGTATAAGCCCTAAATTTACAATAATTTTTTGCGAACAAAATAACAATAAGTTGAATTAAAAAAACAACTATTTTAATCATTTTTAAGGATGTATCGTACATAATGATTAATGTGATCACCTCTATTAGAATCAATTTGAAATCTGCAAAAAGTCTAAACCTCTATTTTACATAAAAGCAAAAGATACTGTTATCGATTTTGCAGTATATAAATTAAAGTTAGAGTAATAGAAATTCATTATTACACAGGGTTCTTTTTAAGGGAAGGAAGCTCTAGTTGACACCTTTTGTTAAGTACAAGATGTAAATTAACAAAATTTTGCTGTCATTTTAGAAATATTAAGAAAGGAAAAAGTTTAAGATTGCATAGAATATCTTTCTTATAATAGAAATACAAAACATTACAAATAATAAATTTTTAAAGATGACAACATAAAACCTTTTGATATGTGGTGGAAATTAGATGTTGTAACCACAAACATAATGAAAATTTCTAATATTCTCAAATTAATAAAAGTACATGACTATAACCAGCTTGACTACTCAACTGAAGAAAATGAAGAATTACAGCAACATCTAATTAAAAGATTTAATGAAAATAGAAATAACTTAAAAATCCATGAATTAATAAAATTAAATAGTCATACTAGATCTGTTTAATCAGTCCTAATGGAAATACATTAGCATCTCGTAGTAGTGATAACTTTATCCGTCTAAGGGATGTCAAAACAGGATAAGAAATTTCATCCTCTGATAAAAACTAAAAAGATATTCTTGCTTAATTAAAAATACCACTTATGAATAGCCTATTATTACTAAATAGTATTTTTTATTTTTTATTTTTTAGTTGATTCTGATCTTACGATACTTAGAATTTGTTAGAATCCTTTATTAGAAGCATCAGGTACACTTATTTTATAAGGAGAATTTATAAGCCATTAAGGAAAAGATTTAAAACCTTTATTTAAATCTAAAGGAAGTTGCTTTTAGAAGACTTATAGAAAAAATGAATTTAATCATTATCAAACAACAATTATTACAATCAATATCTAATATTTTTTTTTAATCTGTCTTTATTAGTTTCACTCTTAATCTTCACTCCTAAAGCTAGGTAAGTTCTTATATTTTCTAAGTTTTTTCCATTTCTGTTTTAAACACACAACATTTATTTTAATATGATTAAATTATACGATTAGTTTAGTGTAGGCATTATTGATTTAAATATCATAAAAATATTATCAATTAATATATTTATAGAGATTAAATTATAAATGATACTAATTATAATTAATAATCTAAACAGAGAACAGTAGGCTAAATGAAGAGATTAAAATAAAGATCGATATAATTACTTAAAAAAAACTTAATTAACACAACATTCTTTTATAACACATCTAGGATATTATATGATAGATTTACTTAATTAATTATTATTTATAAAAGGGATTAGTCTTAAAATAATAATTAATAATTTTGTAATATTAGAAATAGCAAAATATATATTTTTATAACAAAGATAAGAATAAAGATACATTAAGAATATATTTAAAAAATAAACTTAATATTAGAATGATAAAGTAAAACAATTAGATTGGATGATATTTCATATTGAAAGTAATGTACCAATCACCTTTGATTATTATTTTTCCATTGATATGAAAAGTATTAGATTTTATAAAATACTGAAAAGATTAATGAATCATCAAGAAATACGATATCATTGAAATTATTAAGATTTATAGAGATCTTCTCTAACCGGCAATTATAAATCTTAATTACTTAAAGCTCTAATTAAATTTTTCCATACTTCAAATAATAAAATTTATAAATCACTGAGATTATGTACACAGCTTTTTTAAGAGTTAGAAATATATAATCAATGTCACATTGAAGATAATTTGAAATTACATTAATTAATATTGAAAGAAATAGTACTCCTCATTATTTTGTAGCTTTAAAAACTGTATTTATATTTGATGAACCTATCAACTATTCAATGTTTACAAATAAATTCATTCATCATGAAGTTAAGAAATTACCCAAAATATATATCAAATAATTCTAAAAAGTAAATCTTTTGAAAAAATTGAATAATAAAGTATATCATACAATATAATGTTAAAGTAATGAAATTTTTCAACTCTATAAAAATGACATTAACCCTCTTCAATATTGAATTACTTGGATAAGAAATCAATAGAACAAATTAAATACAAGAAGAAAGAAATCAATGAAATTTATTATTATGTACACATATATATGTATATTTTTTTTTTGATGATTAAAAAATTATAATTAATCGATTATTCACCTTTCATCAATAAGGCTTATAAATATTTTTAATTCTTTATTAATACAAATTCCTTTTTTTTAAACTTGATTTAATCTTAAAGCTGTTTAGAAAATATTAAAGTTTAATTTTAGAAATTCAATTTTCCTTAATCAAAAGTATTTTTGTATTCCTTGAATAGTTTTAATACCTCATGCTTCTCCCTTCCTTCTCGTTCAGAATACTCCACTCTTCTCTATTACCTCCAGTGGAAAAAGGAGCTTTATTACCCCCTATGCCACCTGAGGTAAAGGAAGAGAAGTAAGCTATTCATGGAAATCATTGAACAAAATATTCAAATTTATTAATATTAATGAGAAAAGATCTACTCTTTGTAACTTTAAACACTTTTACTTTTGATTTTGCTTATCAAAGTTTTTACATCATATAGAAAACAATTAGATTTCTAAAAGTGTCTAATGAAAATATTATCTTTTCAAAATTTATATATTGATTCGAAGGGAATTAAATACACTTTACCTCCTAATTCAGTATGCATTTTTACAAATTTTAAGGAGTGAACAAGATTTTGTTCAGACATATTGGAATTGTTAATTATACTTAAACAGAGATGACAAACAAGAAGAATCAATTAATCAATTATAGAACTCAAGTTATGCATAAATTAAAATATTCATATAAAAAATAGTTATTCCATATTATTTCAGAATAAATCTATGCATAAGTTGAAATGGTTTCTCAGTAGCATATTTCATTTCAATAATAATCAATTCCAAATCTACAAAAAGTCCTAACTTCTATTTTATTGAAATACACAAGTACTTTTATCTATTTTGCAGTATATAACATAAAATTAGAGTAATAGAAATTCATTATTAAAAATAAAAAAAGAAAATGCCAGCCTCTTTTTTGGTGAAAGAAGCTCTAGCTGACATATTTAGTTTGATTAAGTATGTAGATGTAGAAATCTTTGGAGTCATATTAAAAATTTTAAGAAAGGAAAAAGTTTAGGATTGTTTTGGATTTCTATCAGATATAGGGAATCAAAGACTATTAGAATCATAAATCTTATAACAAGCAGGGAATTTCACCAAAACTGATACATTATAGAAATTTTTTGTTTTAAGAAAAGATATGAAATTAATTACATATGTATTAAAAAAATTAAAAGATCATGACTTCAATAACTAAGACATTTCCTTAAAAGAAAATGAAGAATCTAAACTAAGTTTAATTTATAGCATCAAGGATAATAAATAGATATAAGAATTACTGTAATTTTTAGTTCACCTTACATCCATTGATGAAGCTTACATATAAGGTGGGTCTAATTCATTACATTTATTAGTTAAGATAAAAGTGGACCTTAGAAATAAAAATTTTGAAAATATTAAAATCTAAAATACTTGTTTAGTGGGAGCTAATTTTGGTAGGTGCAATTTTAGTGGATCCTAATTTAATATTGTTAATACAAGTGGAATAAATTTAAATGAAGCATTATTAATAAATTGTGAATGGAAGAATTTAAGAATTCATGAATTAAATACATTAAATGGTCATAGTGATGGTGTCGGATCAGTCTGCTTCTCTCCTGATGGAAATACATTAGTTTCTGGTAGTGGTGATAAGTCTATCCGTTTATGGGATGTCAAAACTGGATAATAAAAAGCCAAATTAGATGGTCACATGAACTCCGGTGAGGACTTATAGGGAACCAAGGATTACCCGAACTCCGGTGGGGACTTATAGAGAACCAAGGATTACCCGAACATCGGTGGGGACTTACAGGGAACCAAGGATTCCCTATATATGTCGGGCAGATGGTACCACCTCCGTTTTTTAAAATTCCTGAATATGGGGTCTGAGCAAAAAATGAGGGATTTTTTAAATTAAGACGAAAACGCAATTAAGTAATTAAAAATCCAAAATAGTGAGAGAAATCAGACTTTAAACTAATTATTCTATTATATTGACTCTAATTTAAATAATATTAGTAGCAAAATTACTTTTGAAATTAATTTGTTAAATTTACAAGTTTAAACAATTATTCAAGTTTTTTTGTTAAAGAAAAATATTTAATTTAACCATTCAATTACAAACTAAAAATATAATTGTCATTTTTTATCTTACGTTGTATCAATCTCATCCCCATAATCTATTTATTAATGTACATTTAGTCATAATAAAATATTTTGATCCCACTCACTTCTGGAAATATTTGTTTGTAAATATAAGTATTAGAACACAAGCTATTCAATTGTAAATATAATTTCCCACTAGCAAATTATAGAATAATTATCCTCAACTCCAAATCTTAACAAAGTCTCAAATTCTAATCTTTCTAATTTATAAAATACATAAGATAAGTTTTTATTTGTAATAAATAACTTAGAGTAGAGTAATAGAAATTTAATAATTTAAAAAAAAAAACATAATGTTATGCACTTTTCACATCAGAAATCCTGTTTCTTTAATATCTAAGGCTCCTAACAACTGTTAATGCCAAAGGGAACTTTGTAGTATTCTAATTAAAAATGGGTTAAAAGAGTAACATTTTTTAATTATTTATTTAATTATCATTAGAAATGATGGATCACATAGTTTATTCTACTTTTATTACAAGTTTCAAATCTATAATGCATAAATGGTCAAATATTTTTGGAACAAATAGTCAGAATTATAAAAAACTTTGAATACTTATAATATCAAATCATTTAACATTTTTGAGTACCGATATCCACAGATATATTTTAAGGTAAATATATATATGATTTACCTGCATCTTCAAATATCTCCCTTAACTTTTTTTCTGTAATTACTTTAATATCTTAAATTAGTTTTTTTCTAAATAGTTTAAATGATTAACAAATCCAGTAAATATTCTTAAATGATTCTGAAAAACTGCTCTCTTTTGCTAATAAATGGTTAACTCTATTTTTAAAAATTGTTTCTTTTCTTTTTGCCTATTAACCTATTGTTATTTTCCTAAAGATATTGTTGCCATTTGCACTTCAATTTCTAATTTTTATGGATTTACTGCAAATAATATCACATTATTTTCATCAATAGCATAATAAAGGGCAGCATTTATAATTTTAAAAGCATCTCCAATAATTGTAATTGGTGAAAGTGCAACTGATCCAATGCTTGAAATTTTTTGAACTTTATTTAAAACCTTTTCTGAGTTTTGTTTCAATAGCTGCATTTTGGTTTATATAAAATACGTCTGTTGAAATTTACTACACTGCTTTAAGTAGTTGTAAGGCCTTCAAAATAAAGATTAATAATAAATTTTTTAATACTAATTTTTTGGTATATTAAGATCGTTTAATTATAATTCAATTTAATTTCTATCTTGTTACTCTAATTAATTCACTTTTATTTTTAAATGTAACATCTCTTATTTTAACTGCTCAATATTTAACAATATTTAATTCAGTTATTCATTTAAAACTTATTACTTTTCAGGCTTTATTGATTATTGGAATTGCCAGAATAGGTTTGATTTGATTTTGGTATTGCTTTAATCTTCCAACATAATGTTGTTTATTCTATTATTCTTATGGTTTTTCGATTTGCACTACTCGAAAAGATATTTAGATTGCTCAATTTCGTAATCTAATTTTTTTAGGATGTCAATCTTAGATTTTATGATATTAATACTTTATTTAGTTAAATTTCATTTCGCAATTTCTGACTATTTTAACCTCTATAAAGTATCTAAGGGCTTTTGAGAACATTCAAAGTTTATTAAGTATGGTCAGAAAGAATGTATTAATAATCACCCAAATTGCTCATTCATTTTTTGATTTTAATTATACCAAGCTAAATATATGAATTTTACATTACCTCTACACTTAAATGCATAATAACAGTTCCCATCATTTTCTAGAGCTAATTAGAATATTAGAGCGCATTATCCTGTTATTATAAATCGCTCATAACAGTGCCTCTGCATAATGAATATTTTGTTGCCCATTCTACTATAACACATTGCAAATTTGGATCAATCTAAACACACTTCATATAATCTTATAAAGTTAGATCAAATAATTATTTTTTCCTATAAATTGTTCCTTAAATGTTAAGATATAATATAATACCTCTTTAATAACTTTCAGCATTCTAATTTACATTTTCCACATATAATTTTATTTTTTCATATCATTTTTATTAATGGATTATTAAACTTTGAACTTCTTAAAGTGTAGGCTTCGCCAAATTGAGGGCATAGATCCACAGCGTTATTAATTACTACTAATGCTTCTTCTGTTCTGTAAGTAATTTTAAACTCCTATAAACAATTCCATTTGATATTTATACCTAGATTCTTGTAAAATGAGCTAAAGCACCAGTAATCTCGTCTTCCTTTGAATTTTTTTTTGCTCATTTCTGAAATGTATCCAAATTTTTTTTATAAAATAATCAATAAAATTTAGGGAATTCCACACCTGAATAAATATCAAATTTTTGATTAAAAAAAAAAATATTTCGCTTTTATACTATTTGTAAGCAGAAAAATACAAATTTTGGATCCCTGGTCCCTAGTCAAGCATTAGATGATATATTTGATATTTGTTAATTATTATTAGAGGCGATTAAAAATAAATGAATAACTACTATCCAATTAATTAATGGATGATCACTCAAAAAATAAAAGCAATTGAGAGTATATTAAGATGCAGAATTATAGCTAAGTTTAAATACTCCTTATTCCCTTTTTCAGGAAACCAAATTCAAATTTTTTCCACTTAATATTTAAATTTTTTGCCACTAAATTTTTAATGTGGGTTTCTAATATTCCTGATCTTAATACTGTATTTAAATATAAATAGACAATAAAATATTTGTTATCTAGACTTTCATAAAATAAGCCTATTTTATGAATTCTTTGAAATTGAATTGCTAACTGTAAAGTTAACCAAAAACCAAAATGAAATTCCAAATAACTTTATATTAATAAATTTTAACTCTAAATCATGTTTTAAAACTAACTTTTCTTAAATAAGAACTGAAAAATATTATTACCCTGAATAATTAAAACCCATGAAAAATTAAAAGCATTATTAAATAAGTGATGAATTATAATGTCTTAATCACAAAAATACACTTAAATATTATAATAATATCATTAATTTCCTCTTATCTAATTAATATAATATTGAAGAGGTTTAATGTCCTTTTTGGAAACGAAAAATTGAATTATTTTTAAGCTTTCAATTATGGATTTGAAAAAGAATACCAATCATTAATCATTGATACCTTTTTTCTGCTTCAATCTTTAAGTGATTACATAATCTCAATAATTTATAAACGATTATTATTTGATGTATGTTAAAATTCATGTAGTTCTTTAAGTTAATCAGTAATTCAGATTGTTAGTTGGTTGTTAGGGAAGATATAACTATCTCTGTAAATCTTAATAATTTCAAAAAATATACAACTTTTAGATGATTAATATACTTTTTCAGTCATTTATAATGTCTCATACTTTTAATATTGATTGAAGAATAATCTGGTGATTTGTACGTTACTTTCAATATTAAAATCATCCAACCTAATTGTTAAATTCTTGACATATTTTTTTTTATAATTTATTGTTATTAATCTATCTTTTACCATTATAAAACTATATATACCAATAATTTGTTAGATGATCTTATAAAATTTCACTTTTTTCATATTACATATACTAAATGAAAAAGTTAAATTTAATAAATAGTCGAAACAGTAATGGCTATCGGTTTTTATTAAAAAAATTATGAGGAAAGATGAGAATGAAGTTTAACATAAAATATTGAATAAATTTAGAATTACTTTAAAAATCCTGAAAAAAAAATAATATTCAGTAAATTTCAATATACAATACAATCTTCTTTTTTCTTTATGTCTAAGTTTTTTATAGTTTCCAAAAAGCAACTTCCTTTAGATTTAAATAAAGGTTTTAAATCTTTCCCTTAATGGTTGATGAATTCTCCTTATAAGATAAGTGTTCCTTGTGCTTCTAATAAAGGATTCTAACAAATCTTAAGTATTGTACGATCTGGCTCAACTAAATAATAATAAATAACAAATACCATTTGGTAATAATAAGCTATTCTAAAGTGGAATTTTAAATTATGCAAGAATATCTTTGTAGTTTTTATCAGAGGATTTAATTTCTTATCCTTTCTTTACATCCCATAAGCGGATAGAATTATCATAACTACCAGAAGCTAATGTATTTCCATCAGGAGAGAAACAGACTGAGTAGACATCATTACTATGACCATCTAATTTGGCTTTTTATTATCCTGTTTTGACATCCCATAAGCGGATAGAGTTATCATAACTACCAGAAGCTAATGTATTTCCATCAGGAGAGAAACAGACTGAGTAGACAGTACTAGTATGACAATCTAATTTAGCTTTTTATTATCCTGTTTAGATATTCCATAGACGGATAGAACAATCACCACCTCCATATTAATGACCACTACCAGATGCTAATGTATTTCCATCAGGAGAGAAACAGACTGATCTTACAGTATTACTATGACCATCTAATTTGGCTTTTTATTATCCTGTTTTGACATCCCATAGACGGATAGACTTATCATCACCACCAGAAGCTAATGTATTTCCATCAGGAGAGAAACAGACTGATCTAACATAACTACTATGACCATCTAATTTGGCTTTTTATTATCCTGTTTTGACATCCCATAGACGGATAGACTTATCATCACTACCAGAAGCTAATGTATTTCCATCAGGAGAGAAACAGACTGATCTAACATAACTACTATGACCATCTAATTTGGCTTTTTATTATCCTGTTTTGACATCCCATAGACGGATAGACTTATCATCACTACCAGAAGCTAATGTATTTCCATCAGGAGAGAAACAGACTGATCTAACATAACTACTATGACCATCTAATTTGGCTTTTTATTATCCTGTTTTGACATCCCATAGACGGATAGACTTATCATCACTACCAGAAGCTAATGTATTTCCATCAGGAGAGAAACAGACTGATCTAACATAACTACTATGACCATCTAATTTGGCTTTTTATTATCCTGTTTTGACATCCCATAGACGGATAGACTTATCATCACTACCAGAAGCTAATGTATTTCCATCAGGAGAGAAACAGACTGAATTTACATAACTACTATGACCATCTAATTTGGCTTTTTATTATCCTGTTTTGACATCCCATAGACGGATAGACTTATCATCACTACCAGAAGCTAATGTATTTCCATCAGGAGAGAAACAGACTGACATAACATAATTACTATGACCATCTAATTTGGCTTTTTATTATCCTGTTTTGACATCCCATAGACGGATAGAGTTATCACAACTACCAGAAGCTAATGTATTTCCATCAGGAGAGAAACAGACTGACCAGACAGTTCCACTATGACCATCCAACTTATTCAATTCATGGACTTTAATGTTCTTCCATTTACAATTGAACATTTAAGCTCCATTAAAATTGACTCCACTGATATCAACATTCTCAAACTCTGTTTCACTCAAGTTGCATCTTACAAAATTCCCTCCAATTAAAGAAGTATTCTTGATTTTGATATTTTCAAATGATTTGTTTTTAAGATCAACCTTCATGTCCACTAATAAACTAAGTCCATTTGATCCTGATTGAATAAAATTTACATCTATGCTTGTTATTCGTACTAAAAATTTGATGAATTCTGTGATCCTTTTGTTATCCTTAATCATATTGACCAGATCCGCTCTTTCCTTTTCATATGTTTCATGAGAATAGTCATCTTTATTAAATTTATGATCCTAAATATTCCTCAAGAAATTAGTTATTTTCTTTACTTACTTCTTGATCTCCTTTATATTCTCTTACTTGTAGTTTAAAGATTCATAAAACTGATTATTGTTTGTCTTCGACAGGAATCCAATAATGTCTGAAACTTTCTCTTTTTTAAGTGTTTCAAGAACCTTTTAATAGAGAGTTTCATCTATATCTTGGATGTACCTTAGCATTTCATAAAGATCTTCCTTCATTTAATAAACTTCTTCTTCATCTTCCCTAGAGATAAGATTTATAATGCTTACTTAATTAATGATTGGATCTATTGAATTCCTTAGTTAGACTTCTCAATAAAAGCCTTTATATGTTGGTCCCACCAACTCATGGTCTTCTCTAATTCTTTCATTTAAGAACTCTTCTCAGCATTCCAATCATTTAAAGTTGATCCTTCTACAATGTTTACTAATTTTTCTATATCAGTGTAAGAGGATTCAGCTAGATTAGTGTTTTCATTGATTAGGTTTAAGTATGATTAGTTTTCCTTTTCAATCCAATCATATACTTATTTGATTGATTGTGACAACTCCTCCCAAATTTTCTTCATCAATTATTCAGTTTGAGAAAGCAATGATTTAAAGGCCAATCTCTATTTTTTTAACTCGGTTGTATCATTAAGGTTGAAATCTTTTAATTTCTTCATAGCCATCTCTCTAAATATTTTTAAAGGAATTGTATGCTTAAAATCTACTCCATGTTCATATTGGCATTCCACGCAAAGTTTTCTTTAGCATTAGCACTTATGAGGAGCTTTACATATCAGAGTAATCTAATTTTGAATATGGTGAGTGCAATTCATTATTTAAAATAATGAATTTCTATTACTCTAACTTGAAGTTATATACTGCAAAATCGATAAAAGTATCTTGTGCATTTCTGTAAAATAGAAGTTATGACTTTGTGGAGATTGGAATTGATTGTAGTAGATGTTAATTATGCTATTGAGAATTCATTTCAACATAGATCTTACAGTATTACTATGACCATCTAATTTGACTTTTTATTATCCTGTTTTGACATCCCATAGACGGATAGACTCATCATAACTACCAGAAGCTAATGTATTTCCATCAGGAGAGAAACAGACTGAACTAACACAACTACTATGGCCATCCAACTTATTCAATTCATGGATTTTAATGTTCTTCCACTTACAATTGAATAATTAAGCACCATTCAAATTCAATCCACTGATTTCAACATTTTCAAACTATGATTCACTCAAGTTGCAACTTACAAAATTACCTCCAATTAAAGAAGTATTCTTGATCCTGATATTTTCAAAGGATTGGTTCCTAATATCAACCTTCATGGCCACTAATAAACTAAGTCCATTAGATCCAGATTGAATAAATTTTACATCTATGCATGTTAGTCGTACTAAAAATTTGATGAACTCTGTGATCCCTTTGTTATCCTTCATCCTCTTGATCAGATCCGCTCTTTCCTTTTCATATTTCTCTTGAAAATAGTCATCCTTACTAAATTTATCATCCTAAAGATTTTTCAAGACATTAGTTATTTACTTTACTTATTTCTTGATCTCCTTTATATTCTCTTACTTATAGTTTAAAGATTCATAAAACTGATGTTA